GGCGGAACTGACAATTCGAGGGGGCTTAGATCCTCGCGAACGGATCCCGCCTCGGGAGTTGGCGGGAGGTCGTCCTCGGGAGGAGATGGGGCCTGGGTCGCCTCTCCGCCGACTCCGCCGGGCTGGGGAGGACTGCTTGCTTCCGGACCGTCGCGATCCCATGCTTCCTCCGGGGGGCGACCCTCCTTCTCCACATCGAGCGCCCCTACGCGTCGGCCGGGATTCTTCACCTGCTCCTGGAGGCTCCGGAACTCGGGGGTATCGGCCAGCTCGGCTCCCTGAGCCTCCTCCCGAGTCGCAGCTCGGACTTGCTCTGTACTGCACTTCCAGAGTTTCGTCCTCATCGCGACCCACACCGTGGTGCCTCGCTGGTAAACGACGGCCCCGGGACCAACCCAGCGGTCTCGCTGGAGAGAGTGAGTTTTGGCTCCGACCAGCTTGCGCCAGACGTAGACCCACTGCCCAGGCACGTACACTCGGTCCGCGTGATGTCTGGCCTTGCCGGCTTCGGCCACTCGAGACTTCGCATCGGCTGACATGAGGGCCAACTTGGCCTGCTCGCGGATCCTATGTTTCCGAGCGAAGGCTCCAGCGGCAGAGTCGCAGCCCTCTACGTCCCCATGGGCCAAGTCGTCTACTCCGATGTCATCTACTCCTTCGTCGCTGAGCAGTGCTCGCGGGAGGCGTGGATTCTCCCCGAAGACGAGTTGGTAGGGTGAGTACCCGGAGCGATGGAAATAACGATTCTTTGCCGCAACGGTCTCGATGATGAGGAGCTCGACTTCCTGGAGGCTGGTCGGATGCACTGCCTCTGCAGCTTTAGCCACGGCGGCCTTGACCCATCCTCCGTGCCTCTCTGCGCGGCCGTTCTGCCACGGACTGGTGGCGTCGCAGATGTGTTGGAACGTGCCAACGTGCTCGCATCCCCTCCCAAACGCCCCGATAAACTCGCTGCCTCCGTCACTGATGAGGACCTCGGGGGGGCCGAAGATCCTCGGCCAGCACCTCTCAAAGGCGGCCCACGCGTTTTCCTAAATAAGGGGATCGTGGGGAGTCATCATGTGACACTGCTGGAAGCCCGACCCGTGGTCCAGCACATTCAGCACGGCGAGCTTGGTCCCCAGGACCGTGAGAAAGAAACGGTCAACCGCCACGAGCCGATTGAATCGGCAGGTCCGGGGAACGGCAGCACGCCGTCGCCACGAGGGGCGAACGTGGCTGCCGCACTGCTCACACTTGAACTCGTGCTTAACGTAATCCAGAACGTCCGCTCGCGCGTGGGCGAGCCCCAACATCTTGACAAACGCTCCCCGGGGGGGATGGCCCAAATTGATATGAGTCTTCAAAACCTCCCCCTGCAACTGCTTGCTGAGCTGGGTCCTCGGTTTCTCGCTCGCCTCGGGCTTGGGCCCTTCGACCTCGGACTCAGAGTCGCTGTCTCCCCCCGCGGCGGCCAGGCTGAGAGTACTCTCGTGAGCGTGACTCTCTGGGGACCCAGGGACATCGCACTCGAGATATTCCTCAGCGTGCCCGAGCGCGGAGAGACGAGCGGCTTCGAGGATGCCTTCGCTCATGGAGGAGACTAGCTCTGGGGGGTACACTTGCGCGGCTTTGGTCTTCGCCCCGCCGCACAGATGGTCGTGGACGTGCCCCCCCCTGCACCTGCGCATCAAGGGAAGAAGCAGGGAGGGCTTATTTATCATAAAACGAGTCGGCTTCTTGTTGGCCCCCCCCCTTGGACCGCTAAACCGTACTGACATAAGTCGGCCACCTCCGAAATCACCCCCAGTCGTCTCAACATCTCCCGAACGGACGACAGCTCCCAGGAACACGCACTGGCGGGGTGTTCCAGCAAAAAACCCATGCCCTTCCTCACCTGATACTAGGCAACTCTCATGCAAAAAGCCATGAATCGGACTCCGACCTCTTCCGACTGCTGCAGTCGCTCGGGAGACATCTTCCCCCAGCTGGGTCGGCGGGCCACGGAGAACGAGAGGCATTCGGGAGACATCACTACTACCTCTGGCTGGTCGGCCTCTAGTATCGACCATGCAGTGCGCTCCCCAGCTCCTGTAGACAGATCGCATCCCGTGCGAAGGTCCAGACTGCGAGAGACGGGAAACCCTCTGGCTTTCAGATCCGCCGCCGCTCGAGGAACGGAGAACAGCTCCATCACCAAAGTTCTCCCGGAGCTTGAGAGATATTCCTGAATGAGCCGCTTGCGATGACGCTTCTGCTTCCTTGCCGTCCTTCCCCCGGTGACGGTCAGAACGGCATCCCGGACTTCCCTGGGAACGTGGCACGAGAGCTCTGAGGATTCCAGACGATCGGGGAATGGGGGGCTGGTTCCGAGGGTGAATATCCCCTCCAGAGGGGAGCTCACGGACTCATCGAACCCTCCTGCTTTAATGCTCCCCTCCTCTGGCGTCCCTTCCCGAATCCTTCCAGTCGAGCCGGGCGGAGACACGTGGGAAGTCGCTCCTGTCGATCCGGGTGGAGGGTCGGATCGAGACGATCTGGACGGGCGGGCTGACCAGGTCTCCACGGTCATGGAGTCCCGGGGAACGCCGACGAGCGCCTCCTGTACCTGCCGCGCGCTGAGGTCGGCCGAGAGCGAGTCGAAGAACGTTCCTGTGACTCCTCGACACCTGATCCTGAGGCATCCCTGGACCCATTTCCCTAGGTTCGAGCTGGATTTCGCCACTAGGTGACAAGCGACCTGAGCCAGGAAGGTCCCCACCTCATCCCTGGAGAGCTCCTGACGTTCCCACTTCCTTTCCTGTGCCACCTGATCGAGGGAGACTCGCTTCCCTCGAGTGCCGTGCCACCAGACTGGCAACGGCTGGAATGAGCCGTCGCGATGGACATTGCCAGTACGACGTGCGTGCCGGGCTCTTGCCACGGCCGCAGCCCTCCAAACAAATTCCCCTCCTTCCCCGGCGTCCGACGGGTGCCCCGTGGGGCAGTACGAGCTTCTGGGGTCCTTGGGGCCCTGGTTCCAGAAATCAGGTTCTCCCTCCCCCGACTCTCCCCCATTTCCCCCCTGGACAGTCCTGCCCCTCACTTGCGGTCCGCCAGCTCCCGCACTGCCTCCGCCATCTTGGCCAGCGCCTCGGTGTTCGCCTGCATAGCGACTGCCAGCTGGTCGCGGCTCTCGGCCGGCTCGCTCTTGATCTCCGTGCCGTCCGAAGCGAATGAGGCCGACGCATCCTCCTGCTTCGCCGCTGGGCGCTGGGCGGAGGACTCCTTCTTCTGACGATAGATCTCGGACTTGATGGGCACTTCGTGTGGCGCCTCCTCGGCCATCGCTCGACGTGCCGCTCTCCTGGCCTTCTTCTCGGCCTTCCTCTGCAGCTGGGCCTGACGCTCCTCTAGGGTCAGCTCCGTCCGCTTCACTATGAGGCCGCAGACTAGGCACTTGCTCCACTTGATATACTGATTCTCGCTCTCGAAGCGAAGGTCCTTCGGATGGAGACAGCTCAGCTGGTCCGGCATCTGCTCGACCTGGGCACTCTGCCTCTCGTCCAGCAACTCTGAGGCCTCCTGAGCATTCGCATACGTGGCGAGCTGCACTGTCATGCGCTTCCACGCCCTGATCACGAGGTTCGGGCCCTCGGCGGATCCGTCCGACTGACCGACCTCCCCCCAGTCCATCTTCGAGCCGTTCTCGAACCTGACTGGTGGACGCGCGGGCTTCCTCGAGGACGCATCCTTCCGGGCCTGGCTGCTTGATCGCGTCTTGGGGGCCTTGATCACCCCCGCCATGGGCTGCGTTGGCTCTGGTTAACTTCTCGGCCCCTGGGTGAGGATCTGTGGGGGAGATCAAGGTGGCAGGCTTTCCGAGTCCCGGGATTTCGAGCCCAAGAGGTACTGCGTACGTAGAGCCGCCTGTCCTCTGTCCTGACGATCCTGGCTTCAGCTTCCTTTGCCTCCTGAAACTCCTCTATCTCCTCGTGGCTTTCCTCCCTCGGTTGTCCTCCTGATACTGCCTCGGTCCCTGTCTCCTCCTCCAGCTGCTTTCCTGATTCCTTCCTGGGACTTTGGAGCCCCTGACGCTTGCCCTGGGATTCCTGGTTCAGTGGCTTCTCGGGTCTCCCTGAGGACTGGACTATGAGGGGGGCGGAGGTCAGTCGAGGAGGAGGCTGACAGAAAAGACGGGCGATCGGCGTCGGCAGACGATGGATCGCCGCACGCACAAAAGTCGTGCGAGGACAGTCCTGGCCAGTCCTGCTGCGCGGCCGATGGGATCTCGAACTCACGCGGGCTGCTCTCGTCAAGGAGGCCGATGGTCCGGTGCCCGGACTTCAGCCTGGTCATGGCAATGGTCCTGGTCTCCCCCATCGAGCTCACGGTGAGCTCGTCCCGAGCCAGGTCCACTACTGCCCCAATGCTCTCCAGCCAGCGCACCGGGAGCAGGAGCGGCACATCCTCGGCCACTACCCTGAACAGGATCAGGCACCCGATGCCGCCCTTCGTCACTGCCACCATCGCCTCGCCGACGACCTTCGACCGGCCTCCGACCCCCTTGGCCGATGCCGGGCCCGCGACGTCCTGGACGGGGATGTTCCATCCACGCTTCTGGTACAGCATCTTCAGATCCTTCAACTGCTTCTCGCCTTCCAGAGCCTGTCCGGCCGCCGCGTCGACCATGCCCTCCGGCTCGCCCCCCTTGAGGTCGAACGCGAAGGTGGCGTTCGGGAGGCCCGGCCCGAGCACCCTGAAGATCAGCTCCTGGATCCTTGGACCGCCGACGAGGTACGTGCCGTCGTCGATGTCGTCCGTGGCGCTGGCCGCCACGTAGAGCACGCGGCCTCCCGCATCCTTCTTCGGCTTGGACGCGGGGCTCTGACCGATCTCGGGCTTCGACTTCGGCTTGCACGGGCTGGTGCATTCCTTCCGCCAGTGGCCCTTCTGGCCGCAATTGGCGCACCTCGTCCTCTCCTTGAGCCGGCTGATGCTCAGCCGCTGCCGTCCGGCTCCCGGGCGGGGAGCTTGGCGGCCCCCGCTCCTCTTGGAATCGAAGAAGCCTCGATCCCTGGCAATCGCTGCCTTCAGCTCCTTCGACTCGGCCCAGCGACGAGGTCTGCCCTCCTTCTGCCTCTTCTCGTCGAGAACGGCGGCCAGCACCATGCACGCCTGGTCCTCGTCGAACTCCTGAGCCGAGATGGCCTCGTAGAACGACATCACTTCCTCGTCGTCCATGATGAGGTCCTCCTCCAGCTCCAGGTACGTCACGTCCTGTTCGTCTTCCTCGCTGTCGCCGTCGACCGCGTACACCTTCTGCTTCTTGGTGGACCCCTTCCTTCTGACGTCCATCTTCATCAGCCCTCGCCGGATGGACTCCAGGTCCTCCTGCCCCTGAGCGATTGACATCAGATTGATCAGGTTCTGATCTGACAGCCCCGCGCCGTTCTTCAGCTGTTGCACCTGAATCTTTTCCGGGAGCTCCAGACCGTGTCGACGCGCTGTTCTCACCTGCACATCTCTCCTCATCACATACTGCGCGTAAGTCTCTCCTGCTCGAATCTCTGTGTCCTCCAGCGCGAGGCGGCATGCCTCCTTCGCCTCGTCGCCGTCCTGGTCGCCACGGCACCTCCTCATGAACTGGAAGAGCGTCTCCATGCCGTTGATGCTGTCCAGCTCGTCGGCGTAGTGCAAGAGCCTCTCCTGCAGGTCCGCCGGCAGCCCGTCGATGACCTTGCCCGCCCGTTGCTCCGGCGGCAGGCCCGTCCGACGACTCCACCGCCTCACTTGCACCAGCCACGTGTCGAGCCTCTCGAATCCCGCCCATGGGGCGGGTCCCTGCGTGTCATTTGGCTTCCATCCGCTGCTGTGGCCGCCCACGCTGCCGCCCCACGGCCAGGGAGCCTGAGGCTGCTGAGCCGCGACGGAGCCCTGGACGCCGACTGCCGCGGGCGTAGACGCTGCTGCTGCTGGCACAGCCGCGGCGCCGGCTCCCGCGACAGCGGGGCGGGACTCGGCGACTGGCTGGGCCGTGGCCGTCGTGGTCGGCGGGGGCGCTGCCGCCGACGACGAGGCCGCGGCGCCTGCCCAGGCGGCGGCTGATGACGCCCCCGCAGCAGCTGATGCGGCCGATGGGCTTGCTCTGGTTGTCTCACCGCCTCCTCGTGCGGCGGGCGGCTGCTGCGCTCCACTGGCTGCTGAGGGCAGTGGTCCGGCGGACACTCGAGTCAGTCGACCTGTCTCGATTGCTGCTCTTGCCGCCGGCTGCGTCTGCTCGTTCATCAGCGCCGTCGGGAGTGGAGGCTGCTCTGGCACTGGTATCACTGCCCAGTTCCCTCTCCACTCCCAAGTCTGCGATCTCCAATTGTGGTAGCTGTTGCCGCTCTGCCACCACCAGTCGTTCCAGGCGCTCCCGCCAAAATGGCTGTTGGCACCCTGCGACCATGGATCTCGTCCTGCGCCCTGCCATGGATCATCACTGGCTATCCCTGGTTCGCTGGAACCCTCGGCCGGTCTATCCTCGGGCGTGTCTAGCTGCTGTCCTTCTGGCGCCCCCGCGCCAGTCTCGTCTGGCGTCTCCTCCTCAGCACCCGGAGAGTCTGTGGCGATGTCGCCCTGCGCCCCCTCCGGCACCCCGCTGCCCCTCGCAACCATTACGCTCCGGCTACCATTGTGAGTGAACGTGTGGATCGGTTGGGGTACAAACAGGGGCCGGAGGAAGGGGCGATGAGCGGGGGCGCCTCCTCTCCCCCCTGTGCTTTTCAGAGACTTGAGCCACATCGGCGTCAGTACAGTCATGCTCACATGCTGTGGGACGCCTCCCTCATGGGGCACAATCTAAAGGGGGCTCGGTGGGTAGGCGAGCATGGGACAGATAAGACAAAGGCGAGAACCTAGAGGTGCACTATGCCTACTACGACTACTACTACTACGCCGACCACGTCCCGACGAGGGCGGCGCCTGCGCCGCCACCACGGGCCACCTTCCGCGGGCCCGGCGGCCAAGAGGCATCACGGGCAGGCGAAACGGATAAGGTGGACACCGCGCTGCAGGATGACGGCACGCGGCTCGAGGCAGAGGCAGTGGAGGAGACACCCGCGCCCAAGCCCGCGAGGACGCGGGAGGCGCGCGCCAGGGAGAAGGCAAAGGAGGCGCAGGCATCAGGAGCTGGCCCGCCGCCCCCCCCCGCCCGAGGGGCGGAGAGGGACGTCGAATGATACAGACGGGGGCAGCGAGTCCGCCAGCGGGCATGCCCCAGCTTCGGCCACAACATCCAGCGAAGAGTTCTTCTCGATGGAGCGGGTCAACTCCCTTGTCGAAGCGGTGCTCAAGTGGCCGGGGGAAAGAATGGGGTACGTTCTGGGCGCGTTCCTCTACCAGCTCATCGCGTTCATCATGGGCCTGGTCGACTCCTTGGGCCGTTACCTACTCGGCGCTTACTGGGCGAGGCTGCAGTGGGCGGCTATGGGATTGGTGGCCTTGGGAGTTGCGACGGCCCTGGGATGGGCAGCGAGCCTCCTCGTTTGGTTCCTGAAGACGGCATGGAGCTACGCGTCTCTGTTGCTGGCGACGCTGAAGGGTTTCGCGCAGGGCAGCAAGACGGGGCACGACGTGAAGTTGGCGCTCGACGGCAACTCAGCGGAGGTCCTCAGCTGGCATGGCCCGTCGGAGGCGCTGGCTGTCGATGAGGACTATGTCAAGACCGAGGTTCGTGCGCGAGGGGGCGGAGCAGAGAAGATGATGCCCAACGACCTCATCATCCAGTCAGGAGGCTCGGCGGCCCGGCTTGAGCAGGGGCCGCTGAAGGGCGGCCGCATCACGCGCCACGGCTGCGTGTACAAGTTCAGGGAGGTAAAGGGCAGTTCCCATCGCCGCCTGAAGGCCGACTTGGAGGAAACTCGGGACAACGAGGGTATCGGTCTGGTGCATCTCTGCGCGGCGTCCCCTTGCACCCTCCCAGATGGCGACGAGCCCATGGTCCACGTCTGCTGCTCGTGTGTCGTGGCCCACAGCTCCCCGGTCAACGTGGCGGACCTGGCTAAGCTCTCACCAGCGGGACGCGCTAGGATCGGGAGCTGGTTGCGCTGCTCGTGGGTATGCCGCGGAGTGGGCGGAGCGGGGGGAAGGCTGTTCAGGCGCTGCACCAGGCGGAGGCGGAGGCATCCCAAGCTGGGGCAACCGTCCAGCAAGGCCGAGGAGATGGACCCCAACTCAGAGACCGAGTCAGAGCCGAGCGTGGACGGCTGCCAGGCGGACCAAGTGGCGCACGTCACCAAGGACGGCACCCAAGTCCTGAGCGCTGCGTGCTGCCGCGATACGGCCAGGCAGGATCCAGTTTTCATGCTGGTCGAGGACACTGCGATATCCGACGTGCGCGAGATGCAGGAGGAGGGAGGCACTCGAGTCTTTCGGGCGCGTGCTCATCATGCAGGCACCTACGAGAGGCAGGCAGCCGCGCGGAGGTGCGCACGCCCGCAGTGTCATCGTGCCCATGTGATTGAGAAGGACGGTTTCTCCCTGTGCGCGGCTCACGCAGCCGATCGGACGGCGGGCTGGAGCAGTCGCTCAGCCACGCCTCACCAGGAGGACGGAGCTCAAGATCGGAGGCCGAGCAGCAAGGAGCCTGACGGGAGAGGGGAGGATCGCGCCGCCCGCCGCCCCTCGGGGGCCGCAGGCCGGAAAGGCAGCCCCGCCGAAGCTGAGGTTGAGGCTGCGTGGCTACTGCATGTGCGAGACCCCCCTGGCAGATGCGGAGCACGAGCGGGACGCGCACTACGGCTTCCCGGCACGCTTCGTCGGCCCCGCCAAGGACTTCAGCGACGACGACCCGAGGACGGACGTGGAGGCGGTCGGCTTGGGGCTGGTCTTCTCCATCCCGGATGGCGCCTTCTCGGCGCCGAGGCCGGAGTTGCCCGACGAGTTCGCGGGGGCCCAGCCCCCCGCCATCTGCTGGCGCTCTGGCGCTGCGTTGCGGCTCTCGGACCACGGCCGCGGCACGAACTACAGGGGGGACGTGCTGAGCCCAGCTTCCGCCATAGCGCTCAGCAAGGACCGCAGACGCCATCACCTCGCCAAGCGGGCGCGGTCCAGGAGCCGCAGTACTACCCCGACGAGGAGAGATACGCGGGCGGACTTCGAAGCGAAGCTGAGGAAGGCTCAGGAGCAGGACAGGGAGCAGCGGGGCCTGGACCCGATATCGTCGCTCATTTCGACCCACCTCACCAAGCGCGCGGACGGGCTCACAGATGGAGCGGCCAGAGGGGCCATCTCGTCAGAGAGCGGCATGGGCAGGCACGAGCTGCTCGCAGAGCTCATCGAGGCGGCCGACGCGACGCATGGAGGAGGGGTCAGCGAGGTGGGCGCCAGTCTCCTTAGGGGATGCCGAGAGGTGCGGAGCAAGTAGCTTGAGGGAGGAGAGGGAGGCCAATCCCCAGGAGGGACAAAGGGGCCTCCCGCTACGCTACCGGCCCACACACCCTACGACGGCCACGAGGCGGCTGTCGGAGGGCAGAGGACGGCGATGCCATCCTGGCCCGCAGAGGGTGGGCGCGTGGGCCCAGCGGCCCCGCCAAGGCCCTCCCCAGCGGGGCCCCCGCCGAGCCTAGGTTTCCTCCGCTTCGGTCAAAGGCCGCCCCCGAGGCAGGAAGCGCAGGTCGGTTTCAACTCGAATGCGTTCTACGGGACCGGAGGGGCCAGCTCGACTACACCTTGGACCGCCAGGTCGCCCTGGCAGCTTTCCTTCGTGGAGCGTGCTACGCGGCCGCGGGAATGGCAGGCGGGAGCTTCGTCAATGCCGCAAGAGGACAGGGTTCTGGGCGCACCGTCGCCCGAGTCTGAGGTCGGGATTGGCCTACAGAATCCGGTGCGCGAGCTGGGGCGAGCCAACAAGCACGCGGAGGAGTCAGGAGGAGCAGCCAAAGGTACCTTGGCCAGCATTGGGCGCGTGGAGGAGCAGCTCACTTTCATGGCGACAGGCTGCGACTATTACACCGTCACGCTGTGCCCAGGGTTGCTGGGCAAGGATGCCTTCCACGCGCTGAGGTCTGTGGGTCAGAACTCCAGACTGCTCTTTCTGTCGATCAAGTTCCCCACGAACATTACGAATAGCATCGCGTACGGCCTCGCAGCGTTCCAGCACGGCGGGCGTGACCATATCCACCTGCCGGACTACTGCCTCAGCTGCGCCAACTTCCCTAAGACGACGGAGGCGGACATGGACAACTACGTGCCGCCGAAGGACTACAAGCTCGCAGCTCGGCCGAGGCATGCGTCGACGCCCCAACACTGGTTCCAGGACGCCAAGCGGGAGTCGTGGGCTTGGGCGACGAGGCGGAGTACGCGTGGCCGCCCAATGTCTATTCGGCATATGGGCGGAGCTGCGAGGCCGCTGGTGTGAGGAGCTGCGCATGAAGAGTGCGCGAATGCTGGAGCTCATGGGCGACCGGGGGGTACCAAGCCGGCGGCATCGCGGGAGAGCGGGGAGAGAGGGGGGAGGCTTCCAGATACCAAGCTGGCGGGGTACCAAGCCGGCGCTGGCTTGGTAGGGGGCGGGCGCCAGGGGGGCACCAAGCCGGCGGGGTACCAAGCCGGCGGCATCGCGGGAGACCGGGGGGGGAATGTTATTGGATACCAAGCCGGCGGGGTACCAAGCCAGCGCTGGATTGGTACGGGGCGGGCGCCGGGTGGGTACCAAGCCGGCGGGGTACCGAGCCAGCGGCATCGCGGGAGGGCGGGGGGAGGGGGGGAGGCTCCCGGATACCAAGCCAGCGGAGTACCAAGCCGGCGCTGGCTTGGTAGGGGGCGGGCGCCAGGGGGGTACCAAGCCGGCGGGGTACCAAACTGGCGGCATCGCGGGAGGGCGGGGGGGAAGGGGGAGGCTCCCGGATACCAAGCCGGCGGGGTACCAAACCAGCGTTGGCTTGGTAGGGGGCGGGCGCTGGTGGGGTACCAAGCCGGCGGGGTACGGCTGACGGTTCCAAAATAGCGACGCATTGACGCAGGGAGCAAGCAGCGACGGATTGACGGCTGATCGTTTTCAAAATAGAACGCTCGTCCTGGCGCCGCGGGCATTCGTCGCAAAATTTTGCGACAACTACTCGGATGGCCGGCGGCTGGTTTTTCAAAATGGTGCTCACACATAACGCACTGGTTTGATCAGCCAAGAACCTACAACGTGACATTTCTGCGCGCGCACATGTTTCCATCAATGTCAGGCCCACGCGGCGCCTCTCAGGCCAATGGGGCGCCCCTCTTTCGAGGGCGCGGGTCCAGGTGCGAAGGGAACACGTGCATGGACTTGAAGAAAAGACCTGGGACGGGAGGGTGTATAGCAGCATGTCGATGCATCCTGGGTTCTTCCTGGCCCTCCTCCTCCTCATCTTCCTCCTCTTCCTCCCCCTCCTCCTCACCACCCATCAGCGGCATGGTGGGAGAGCGGGAGTGGTTTCCTTCCCCTCCCCCTCCTCCTCCCCCGTTCTCCTCCTCCTCCTCCTCCTCCTCCACCTCCTCCTCCTCCTCCTCCTCCTCCTCCTCCTCCTCCTCCTCCTCCTCCTCCTCCTCCTCCTCCTCCTCCTCCTCCTCCTCATATTCAGCCTTCTCCTCCTCATCATCGCCCTCGCCCTCATCCTGCGACGCTGGATTGTGCTTTTTCTTCG